TTTATTTTCTCACCTATACATTGCAGCACCTCCTGACTCCAATCACCAGTAGCTGAGCAATATATTTCTCTGTCTCCCTTAAGTTTATAGTCTTCATTACATTCAAATTGTATGGCTTGTCCAAAGGAAAATTCTTGGTCCATCTCATATGAACCAGACATGACAATTCTTCCATTTTCTGGAGCTGTTATTGGCAGACACTTTATCGCTGTAAAAATAAAGCTATATTTTAAACTGAATCTGGATTGTAAAACATTTTCAGCAGAAAATAACTAAACTTTAATTAGAGACAAAAATGCAGAATATTACTTTAAACGGACATCAAATTGAACAATTAAACAAATTCACTCTGCCATAGGTTAGTACTTGTTAATACTCGTACTATCCTATGGCAGAGTTTTTTACTTCTCATCAATGCATGTGTAGACACCGCTGGGGCTGGCTGGTACACAAACGTCCACATGCATATCCTAGCCAGTCCCTCCACAGCATGTTGAGATGGGGTTGAGCATCCCCAGGTTGGCAGGCTGATCCCCTGGGTTCCCTGCCCACTGGGGCTGCTACAACCCAGCTCAACGTGCTGGAGTCCCAGGCGCATGTGTAAATGTGGTTCCTGGGAACAATAAACTCCAGAGCAATATGTGTTAGATTTTTTGGCTGCCGTTAATTTCACATGTAGATGCACACAGAGTATCTTGACTTTGCTGCAATCTGCAGGTTGTCAACCAAGGACCCACCTAGAACTTCTATGACTATTGATGTGGGCAATTAACACACTGATCTTTCATAGTCATAGGTTCTACTCTTGATGTAGCCAAGGCTGAACTTAACTCATCTGGAGAATATTAGACAACTGCAGTGGCCTAGACTATGCCAACCATTTCACATAGATTTATGTATTATTTTGAATAAGCCAATCTAACTAAATTTCCTACAACAGACATGATCGGTTTTATAGCTTTCATTTCCCATTTTTCATTTACACACACACACACACACACACACACATAATTACAACCCCTCCCCCACAACAAACATGTATCTGGGTCCATGAAGGCAGTTCCCAGTTCCCACTGTTCTTCTGATGTGGTTCAGTACCCACCAAGGTGTTGGGGCCTAAAGCCCACTTCATGGAAATGGGAGACTCCTCCCTAGCTTGCTTCTGTGGCCATATGGCTGAGGGCAGACTAACCTTGGGTGCATCTGAACCCCAAAACTCCAGGCTTGGGCCTGCATGTAGGATGCCTGCCAAAAGACTTTGGAAATATCTGAAGCCCCTGGTGGGGGTAGAGTATGTTTGCTGGTTGTAGGACCACTTATGGTTCTGGACTGACTCACGGATTTGGATTTATTTGACTTGGAACACAAAATTTCTTTTTAAAAAATTGCTTAGCATAGGTCATGTGTTTTACAGGCATTCTTAGTGTGGGTTGCAGTCAATTAACTTCATAGCTGGTTTCCATTATTGAGCATATGCTGCTTCTGGTAGTAGGTTAATGATAGATGATATGTTTAATGAATATTGCTTGTATGCATATACAAGACAAAGGGCTTTTCCCCCCCATGCTGATTGGATGAAAAAAATTTTGTTTTATATTCAAATAAAAACTGTAATTAATTGGGAGCAAACTCCACCATTAGATACTTACATTGGTCAGCATGCATATTTCTGAGGATATGGCTTTACATAAGGCTTGCTCTTCTCTGACAATTTTCTCCAGTTTATCTATTCTATGCTCTTTACCTGATCTTGGATCCAGTTATAAGCTCTTTACTTGATAAATAAAACATCATGTATAACTAGGACATTTTAATACACTCTAGATATTAACCCTTAAGATTAGGCGTTGCCATACTCTGGAGCCTAAAACTATCCTCAGCCTTGAAGTAGTCACTGGGGTGCATCTTCAGAATGCTTAAAGCATCTCAGGAGAGCTGTAGAGGTGCAAATGAGAGCTTCTTTTTACAGTAGTGCCAAAAGCCATCCACAGTTGACCAGATATGAATGGATACCTGGTCAGGCTGGCTAAGGAGAAAAAGTGACCGGATGTGATGCTAGCTATGCTTTTCCTCTGTGGTGTTACTTCAGAAACAGTGCATCTTAACGACATTAAGCCAATAAGCCAGACTCAGGTGGACCTTTGACTATAGGATACATAGGGACAGTTAAGGTGCTAAGAATGAAAATCACTAATGCCAAATGGCTGAACAGGAAACTGCCCATACCAGTCAGTAAGAAATGATGAGAACAGGATTGGAATTCAAGCTTTACCCATCAGAGGAAGTCAGGCACTTCTCTTCATCTCTTGGGGTGCTCTTATAGGCTATCTTAAAAAACATTTTAAAGCTGTGGAATGCCATGCTGTCATAAAGTTAAAACAGTTTCAGAGCAATCACAGGTTAAGGGAATAGTTCCCAAGCTTTGTGTCGTGACCCCATTTGCAGTTGCAATGATAAAAAAATGTGGTCACAGAGTGGATGGGCAGTACAACAGATATGGGTTGCAGGCTCAAGGCTTTCCACCCTGCTGCCCTCCCCCTTGGGCCTCTGTGGGAAAGCAGGGCAGGGAGGCTCAGTACCACTGCTGGGATCCCCACACCAGCTGCACCGCCATGTACAACTCCATGCCACCACTGCTGCTGCTGCCGGGCAGGCAGTGGATGCCTAGCCATGGCGGTGCAGCTGGTGTGGGGCCCCTGGAAGTGGCACTGAGCCTCCCCACCCTCCCGTGACCGGTCCTGCCCATTGGGCTGTGGAGGCCATGGGGTGGAGGGCAGCAGGATGCATTCACCCCCTCTCAAGGGCTCCACTCTGCCCCTGCCACATATGTGGGGGAGGCTGCAGGGTGAGGGGAGCTGGGCTCTGTGCTTCACTCCAGCCGCAGCAACTGCCACCTCCCATGGGCAGTAGTTAGTGGATCAGAGCTGGGGCACAGTGAGCATCCTGCATGGGTTGAATAAGTGCTGACAGAACCATTTCAAATGAAATGATTCAATGCAAATGAATACCATGGGGGAGGAGAAGTTGATCCAGAGTTCAGTGGTTCACAGCTATGGGAAGAAGCAGGTGTGTGGGGAGAAAGATGGTTGCCCAACACTAAATGCCAATTCCCTGTGCTTGTTAGTAGTTAATTGGCTTTTTAACTGATCCCCTTGTACAAGCCATTTGAATGCACAGGGGTGCTAGAGCAAGCCCCAAACTAGTAAGGTGCACTGGGGCACTAGGACTAGTCAGGAGTCCCACATCTTTGGAGCAGGAGCAGGTGTTGGCTTGGGGCCAGAGCCATCCCCTGGGTGGTAGAGTTCAGGGAGGTTGAAAGTTTGCCCATGGAGCAAAGGAGTATGAAGGGTGAGGAATGGTGCATCCTGGGATGCTGGAGGAATCAAATACAGCATTTTATCTCCCTGGAGCAAACTAATAATACCTTGGAATGACCTGGGCAAAACAGATCAGAAATAACCTTCTTTTAAATTGTCAGAGCTTTAAAATGTTTACAGGGTTTTTAGCATGGTTAACATGCTTTAATGGATGAGTGCTACCATTTTAAGTGTTTTTATGATGGTTTAAAGGTAACCTGTAACACCACCCTTATTCTGAGTCATGAAGCCTCAGTCCTTTTTCAAGAGTATCCAAACAGACCTCTGTACTACTATAATTAAATATGTGGTTACAGTGCTTTCCTGATAGGTGTGGAACCTGTTTTTTAAGTACTCAATTATATTTGGGGCAGAGATCTGGAGACAGGTCTCCCATTTCTCACAAGAGGGCCCTAACCACCAAATACTGGAGATCCTGAGCTGGGTTTCTCTCAGTCTCTCTTATTAAAGTTGTGCCACCCTGTAGCAATTAACTATTAATTGGAACTGGGGCTTGAAGGCGAGCCTCCAATTTTCCAGCCCTTCCCACCCAAAAATACATTACATATCACACTGTTGGGATTACAGATTACCAGAAACACCTAGTTCTGGGTTGCTTTGATAACTCGCCTTTCAATAGGACTCCACTGGGCATCTGTAGGGTCAGGTCAGAGTTTATCGGGGATTTGGAGGATTTTACCCATGCCTGAATGATAGACTTGCATCCCTAATTTCCTCTCCTGTCGACTCCTTGATGTTAACAAAAATGAGTAATATTTTCTCTTATTGCCTTAAGTCATAGTAACATTACAATGCATTATGGAGTCTTGTGATTTTTTTCTATTGAAGAATAGCTATCATATCAGCATTATAACTTTAAAGAGACAAATTAAGAAAAATTATCAAGTGGGATGGCTTTAAGTTGATGTGGTTTAAAATATGTTGGCTGCAAAATATGTCACCTCCTCCTTTGTAACTGGTCACAAGTTCATCCCCTGGTAAGCATGAGGTAACTTACTTTTCAGTGGTCACTTCTACACATGCAATTATGGCACATGAATAAACTGTGGAGCATATTTTTCTGGAGTTTATTGCTCCCAGGCACACTATTTGAATGTGCACCCAAGAGCAATTATCTCTGGAGCAATAAGCTCCTCACTTTATTCATACTCAGCATGTGGAGTCAGGTTATAGCAGCCCCAGCTGGCAGGGGACTGGCAGGTAGAGGAAAAAAAAAATCAGTCTGCCAGCCCAGGGCTGTTCCCCCTGGCTCAATGTGCTGCAGAGGGGCTGGCTGGGGCATGAAGGAGCTTCAGTATGGGGGCCAGCAGCCATCCCCCACACTGAATCACCCTTATGTCCCAGCCAGCCCCTTCAGCATCTACACGTATGGTGCTGCAGAGTTTTTTAATTCGCAGCAGGATAGTTCTTGTTAATACTCTAGGCTAATAGGGGTACATGTGTAGATGATGAAACTGTGCAGCTAATTGTTCACCTGCACAGTAAATTCGTTGTGTAGCTGTGTCCAGTAACAGTGGAATAAACTACTTCATATTTACTACAGAATAGAAGCCTGCAGTCAGGCAGGCAGGTAGTTGCCGTAGAGTAGCTATCATGCTCTAAATCCATGCTGTCTTACCTTGTTTACCCTTTTAATACAGACCCTAAGAACAACATTAAGGGATTATATCATCCTAGATCTTGATGAATAGTATCTTACACCATGAGTATTCATATTGAAACTAGAGAGACTGCATATTAAGTAAGGTACAACTCCAATGTAAGTAAAGGCATCTGTTTGTTCCAAAACAGTTTCTGGAAGACCAGCTACTAGTCAGCTTGACAAAGGATTAAGTATTGCACTCCACTTACCTTCACAGTGAGGCAAATCGTTGCTCCACCCATCTGCCAGACACTCACGGACATGTCTTTGACTTAGCATCCGGTACCTCAACAAATGAAAGAAAGCAGAGTGAATAATTCTAAAACACAGTAGAATAATTATGCTGTTATCACCCAAACAGTATAAGTAATTTCCTTCTGCTCTAATACAGATTAACACAAAATGTACTTCTAAAAAAGAAATTATTCTTTTTCCCAGCTTCTTCTCAGTTTTTGTTAATCTTCTTATTCATCATGGCATCTAGGAGAGGTACTAGTACAACCTCATTGGGCGTGTATAGTCTTTTGCTGCACCTGGTCTACATTCATGTGGCTTACTTAAGCCATGTGAATATAGACTGGAAGCAGCATGTACAGAAACTCACCAGTCCCAGGAGCCATGCAGGGAAACCAGAATAAGTAACTCAGGGTACAGTTGGTGTGACTGGGGGAACGCTAGTGAGTCTGCATGGGGGGTTGGCTGGTCCAGGGTAGGGGGGTTGATGGGACATTAGTGGGGTGGTGAATTTGGAGGGGAGGTTGGTTGTTCCATGTGCAGGAATAGTCCATCCAGCGGTGGGGGAATGGTAGAATTCAAAATAACCTACTCAGTGCTGGGGGGGTGGAGGGCACATAGGAATAACATAGCACAGGTCTGGGGCAAGAACTTGGGTTTTCCTTGCACTAGAGCTGTGCTCCAAACATTTACAGGTGTTTGACAGAGTGGTTTAACCCATTCCCACTATAAAAGTTAGTTCACTTCCTCAGGCAAACTAATTTAGATTAGGCCCACAATTTTTTTTTGCCCGATTTAACTCCCCAAAATGTCTGCACAGATGGGCATTTAGTTTAATGTAACTCTAGTTATGTCAACCTAAATATAGCACCTGTGCATATCCATTGATAGAGGCCTGCTAGCTCCAGGCTTAGTAAACTGAGTAAAAATAAACAATGAACAGAATTACAGAATCTCGTAAAAAGCTCTTATTTGAAAAATTTCTCTCTGATATTCTTGTATAACATAAATAATGGGCTGTGGGTCAGAGGACTAATATGCTGACCTTTAAAACATTAAGTATCAGAGTGACCCAATGACTTTTCCAGCAGCATTTCGTTAATGTAGAAAGTGGTTCTGATCAGATATGATGAAGGATAGTTTGCACTTGAAAGCTTGTTTAACTCTATCCTAAGTACACAGTTGATCTAATAATGTATATATATATCACCCAAAGAAATCCTTGCCTGTTTGCATTAGTGTTGAAACAAATAATTCCAGAATGCAATGATTGCATTGCAAATGATTTTTCTGGTTTACTAACTCAAGATTCATCACTGAATACACAAACATCTAGTTCTCTATCATAAATCTCCATATTAAATAAGTCAGCTGTAGCCCATTTAGTTTCAGGCAAATTAAATGCGGTCCTCTTCTGAACAAAATTTGGTTGTCCCTGAGTGCATCTACATGAGATGCTAGAAGCTCACTAGACCAATTCTACCACATATTAGCACAGCACAGGGAAAGCTGCACTAATGCACAGTAAAATTAGTCTACTGCACGTTAGCGTCATGCAAAAGACCTGTGCTGATACTACTGCACAGTAGCACCAATTATAGTGCAGTTAGTACCTGTTATTACAGGTAGTAAACTTAATGTGCCACAATTATGGCAGATTAATGCAGTGTAGATGTGCCCCCTGATGGACAAATATAAAACAACATGACAGGGAGAATAGTGTTGATGCCTTCATGGAGCTCTAATATCTTTTTTTAATTAAGTGGATTCACTTTCAACTTTGCTTTTCATAACTATACAAAATATTAAAATAATGTAATCTGATTTGTACAATGAGAAGGCTTAACTAGACACTTATTCTACTTAAGTTTTACAGTCTATGTTATACTAATTTCATACTGAATATTTAAGAAAACTCACCCATCATTACATTTGTACTCAACACGAGCACCAAATACAAATTCAGTTCCTTCTGTAAGGTCAAAGGAGCCAAACGGAATATCTCCAGGATGGCCACAGGGCTTGTCTGGAAAAAAATTGGGAAACATAGTACAGTAGTACTTAACTTTTATCTAGCAATGTGAAGGGTGGTGTTTTCACTGTCTGACAGAAACTGTATCTATGTAATGTAGGATATTTTGAGAAGTTTTCAGTATTCACAAAGTATTTTTGAAAAATGCCACCATTATAGACATAGAATGCTTTCCGGCCTTAAAAAATTGCCAATGATTTAAACTTAGCATGCTCCCACACCAAGCCCAGCTCCTACTCAGAAGAGGCATTGCATTAGTGGGACCCAGCTTGCCCAACATTTGTATAGGTCAGGAACTTCAGTGGGGGGGGGGTTGCCACTTTTATTTAATAGCTGATTGAATCAGCTACTAGATAAAAGCACCAAAAAGCACCGTGAAGTGCCGAAGCTATACAGACACTGAAGAGCCAGGTAGAAGTCATGAGCTGCTTCTACCAGTAAAGTACTTTTTTGTTTTTTTTAAAACTTCTGTAAGCAGCCATAGTAATTTAAATGACCAATTTTAAGCATGATTTCAATCAGCAAATCTCAATTTAAATAATTAATTTGAATAAATTACACTTAAAACTTTTAATTATCATATAGACAAGTTAATTCTTATTGGTTAGAAATCAATAAAGCAGGCTGAAAAATAGGGCCTTTATGATAAATGGCACTTTTTTTGCTAACCAAGGGAACACAGTCATTCTATGTATACTTATTTAAGCCTGGTGTCAACTACCTAGGGCCTGCAAAGAGGTCTGATGAGTTCGAGCCAGCATGGAGCATCAATGTCATGGAGATGCACCATGCTGCCCATCTTCTCTGCATCTGCAGCATCTGAGCTTCCCTTCCTGCAGAGGGGCTGGAAATCTGGCAGCTGGCTGCTAACAGTGGGGGGAATGGGTAAAAGACTTTTGGTCTGCAGTAACAGCTGGATCACAAGCCCCTGCCCATACAGGCAAAAGGATGCCAACTTCTCAGTTAAGTAATTCTAGAACTGACCACTTCCTCTGATCCTTGGTTTCTCATTTTTAATGTTTAGAAAATAGTATATGATGAATTTCTCTTTTACTAGTGTTTTATTATTATTCACTTTTTAGAAGTGATTTTCTTTATTTGGATTGGTGTAACCCCAAATGGGAGCATCATTCAGATTTTACACCATCTTGAAGAGGATAGTAGGGGAGTAAGAAGTATACTATAGACAAGAGTTAGGATACGTCAGAACACAGACTGTTCCAAGCAAATAGCATGAGCAATAACAGGCAGCTGAAAAAGGACAAAATATATAAGTGTGTCTACACAAATACCAGAAGGCTAAAAAATAAGATGGGTAAACTTATTAAATAAATTTTATAGATTTCATAGACATTAGGGCTGGAAGGGACCTTGGAAGATCATTGAGTCCAGCCCCCTACCCCAGGAGCAGGAAGTCAGCTGGGGTCACAGGATCCCAGCAAGATAAATGTCCAATTGAATCTTGAAGGAATCCAGAGTAGGTGCTTGCACCACCTTTGGCGGCAGTCTGTTGCAGGCCTTGGGGGCTTGGACAGTAAAGAAATGCTTCCTTATGTCCAGCCTGAAATGGTTTTGGAGAAGTTTGTGACCGTTTGACCTTGTCATCCCATGGGGTGCTCTGATGAACAAGTGTTCCCTCAGATCCTGATGTATATCCCTTATATACTTACAGGTAGCCACCAGGTGCCCTCAAGCCTGCACTTTTCCAGGCTGAAGAGTCCCATAGATCTCAGCCTCTCATCATAAGGCCTGTTTTCCTGCCCTCTGGTCATGCACGTGGCTCTCCTCTGGACTTCCTCAAGTTTCTCCACATCCTTTTTAAATTGTGGAGCCTAGAATTGGATACAGTATTCCAGCTGCAACCTCACCAAGGCTAAGTACAGTGGGAGGATGACATCCTGGGATTTCCTGGAGAAGCATCTATGGATGCAAGCCAGAGTTTTTTCTCACTTTGCCAGCTGCAACATCACATTGGTGGCTTATATTCATCTTGTGGTCAATCATGAACCCCAAGTCCCTTTCAGCCGTGGTGCTAGCAAGCATAGCATTGCCGAGCCTATAGGCATGCTGTCGGTTTCATTCCCAAGGTGGAGTACCTTGAATTTTTTAGAGTTGAAGGCCATCAGGTTTTTGTCTGCCCATTTTCCAAGCCTGTCAAGGTTGGCCTGGATCACCATTCTGTCCTTGGGTGTGGATGCTTTACCCCAAAGTTTGGTGTCATGAGCGAATTTGGCTAGTCAGCTCCTGACACCAATGTCCACATCATTAATGAAGATGTTGAAAAGGATAGGCGCAAGGACTGAGCCTTGGGGGACCCCACTGGTCACAGCGCACCACAATGATTGACTTCTATCAACTACCACTCTCTGGGTCCGACCTCGAAGATAATTCCCCAACCAGTGGGCTGAGATGTAGCTGAGGCCGCAGTTGGCCCATTTGGCTATAAGACAATCATGGGATACCAGATCGAAAGCTTTTTACAGTCAAGATATATAATGTCAATCTCTTCTCCCTTGTCCAGGTGATAGGTCACCTGGTCATAGAAGGAGATGAGGCTGGTCAGGCAAGACCTACCCACAACAAACCCATGCTGGTTATCCCTCAAAAAGTTGCCTTCAGCCAGTTTGTCAAGAATGGTCGACACTGGCCTTCTTCCAATCCTTGGGCACTCTGCCTGAGCGCCACGAGTTCTTGAAGATCCGTGCCAATGGCTGAGCTATGATGCTTGCCAGCTCCTTAAGTACCCTGGGGTGTAAGCTGTCTGGGCCATCTGACTTGAAGGTGTCCAACCTCTCAAGGTGTTCTTTCACATGGTTAACATTGATGTGGGGTAATAGTTCTCCTTCACCCTGGATGTCCCATACTGTATTAGGAAGGGCCATCCCTTGGGGCTGGTGAAAAACCGACGCAAAATACCTGTTGAGCAGGTTGGTTTTTTCCTGGGCGTCGGTTGTCAGTTGATCTATATGGTTTAGCAGGGGTCCAATGTTACCCTTACATTTCCTGTGGCTCCCCACATATCTAAAAAAGGGCTTTTTATTATCCTTGATATGTGTAGCCAGTTGGAGTTCAGCCACAGCCTTGGCTTTCCTGGTTCACTCCCTACAGGTCCAGACCAGTGCAGAGTACTCCTCCTTTGGGGTGGATCCATTCTTCCATCCATTATAGGCCTTTCTTTTTAGATGCAGGAGGTCCACTAGTTCCCTGCAGAGCCAAGGGGGTTGCTGTGCCCTTTTGCTGCCTTCCCTTCGAGATGGGATAAACATTGCTTGAGCGTCCAGGATTGCTCCCTTGAGGAACTACCACTCTTCCTGAACACCCCTCCCGCTTGGGTCATGGTCCCTTAGGGCCTCGCCAACAAGCCTCCTGAGCTTGTCAAAGTCAGCTTTCCTGAAGTCAAGGACTCAAATAAGAGGCCTGGTATTAAATGGTGACTTTGACAAAATAGACTTGGTACAGGATGATTATCAAGGGGATACTGGTCTAACAGACTACAAACTGGGTGTATCTATATGCAGAAATGTTTACTGCGGAGTTGCCTAATTATCTCTGCAGTAAAATATCGCCATCTACATGTGTGGTATTATTACAAGGGAGTAAACTAATGAAGTCCACCATAGGATAGTATTGCTAAACACAACTACTATCTTACAGTGGAGTTATTTACTTCACTGCAGTGCATATGTATACACTGACCCAGCTGGCTGGGGCACAAGAGTGCTTCACTGCAGGGGATACATGCTAGCTAGCTCTGCACACAAGAATGCTCATGCCCCAGCCGGCCTCTCTGCAGCACATTAAGCTGGGTCAGAACAGCCCCAGGCTAGCAGGCTGATCCCCAAGCCCCCCGTGCCAGCGGGGGCTGCTCTGCCTTGGCCCAATGTGCCATGGCTCCAGATGCACACACAAACATTGCACCTGGGAGCAATAAACTCCATTGCCACCTATGACGGAGTTTATTTAGTCACCTTAATAGCACATGTAGATGTACCCACTATATAGGAATGACAGAGTAGGACAGGGTCGGGCAATTATTTCAGACAGAGGGCCGCTTATCCAGTTTTGGCAGGCTGTTGAGGACCACATGGGTAGCCCTGCCCCTTAACAGGTGCCCCGCCCCCTGGTCACCATCTTGGGACCAATGTCCCAATGTCTTGGGACCAATGTCCCAGGGCCAGCACTGGTGTGGCCCAAAGCAGGGCACAGGCTGGCAGGAGTCCGTGGAGCTGGGCTGGATTGCACCAGCAGGGAGAGGGGGGAGCTGGCCCAGCTCCACAGAGCCCCTGCCAGCTGGGACCCTGAGCTCCTGCCACCCTGCTCTGGGCCCTGCCAGCACTGGCTCTGGGACACCGGTATGGGACCTGTGCTCCCACTGCCTCCCTCACCTGCTCACTCCCAGTGCCCCCCAGCCCTGTGGTACAGGTGGGGGGCAGCGCAGTGCCCCGATCCCCTACTTGCCAGCAGGGAAGAAGCTGGTGCTGAGCATGGGGAAAAGTGGCTACTTACCCACCCCATGGCCAGTGCTCCTTGATGCAGGCACTTGCAGTCCACACAGGGCTATCTGGAGCAGGCACAGGTGAAGGGCTGCTCTTCCCCACGCTCAGCACCAGCTTGTAACCTGCCCTGCTGCCAGCCTGGCAGTGGGGCCGGGGCACGAGGTGGTGCTGAGTGTGGGGGGTGGGGTGCAGGGGAAAGCAGCCCCATGCCTGGTGCCCCACACTGCAGCTGCTTGCAGTTCACCTGGGGCTTCCCATGCCTGCTCCAGATAGTCCCGCGTGGGCTGCAAGCACCAGCAGCAAGGAGTGCTGGCCATGGGGCGAGCAAGGGGCTGCTTTTCTCCATGCAGGGAAGGAGCCCAGGGAAAAGCTGAGCGCAGGAGGAAAAGTGGCCCCTCCTCCACCCCATAGCTGGTGCTCCCTGCTGCAGCCACTTGCAGCCTGTACAAGGATGTCCAGAGCAGGCACAGGCAGTCCCAGGCAGGCTGTGAGCAGCTGCAGCACGGGGCACCGGCCACGCGGTGGGGGAGGAGCCACTTCCCCCCGCACTCCTAACCTGCCCAGGGTCCCTCTGCCCTTCTCCCCCTCCGCACTTACCTGCGGTTCCAGTGCAGGGAAGCCACATGCTCCCAGGCCAGAAGCCCTGGTTAGGGGTGGGGGCGTTGCCAGGCGGCTTGTTGTTGGGCTTCTACCAAGGCTTGTTGTTGGGCTTCTACTGCCCTTGGTTCCTGTCATTTTTTTTACAGGAACCAAGGGCAGAGAAATATTAATTTTCTACATTTTTTAGGGGCCCCGTGAGCCAGATAGAATGGCCTTGTGGGCCGGATTTGGGCCACGGGCCATATTTTGTCCACCCCTGGAGTAGGGTGTGCAGGTGGAAGAGTGGACCTGCATGTTAACAATAACAGCATAGCATCTACCTGCTCCTGACCTGAGGTGGATTATTCCAGCCCACATCAAGAAAAGGTATAAAGGAAGGGCCCTAACAGCAAGGAGAGCTGGAAGACTCTGGGTGAGGAGACAGCAGGATGTCTGTCTGGAGAAGGAAGAGAAGAGATCAAGGAGAAATGACTGAGGTAAGCCTGGGAGGCTTGCCAGGCCATGAGAAAGTCTAGCTTAGTGCTGAGCCTCCTCAGACAGGTGATAGCTCCTCTCTACTCAGTACTGCTTAGAATAGTGAGGTAATAGATTGACTAGGGAAATTGGTGGCTCTGAATTATTGGAGGTTTTCAAGAAGTTCGGTAAGTATTGATCAGGGTTGATCTAGAAATACCTATGGCTAGAGTGGTCTGTAAAGAGGAACAGTGAGAAGTCCAGGGATTGCCTCCCCCAAAAACACACTTGAAATGCTGGGAGTTAATGAGAAGAGCTCTGCAGCCTGAAGCAGGTGATTGTGGGAGTGGACCATGCAGGAGAATGAAGCACATCTGGCTTAGTTGTGATATAAGATTAAATGAACTTGGATAAGTTTATGAAGATGATACACAACCATGCATTCTGGCTTCCTGGTAAGAGGGTATGTTAGATTATACTTACTGTTCCCAGGTTGCAGAGCAGGACGAAGGGTGCTTGGTATTTCCCATGCTTCTGGGCTTTGCTGGTTATCACATGAAACTGGGGCAGATTTTTTCCCTCTCTCCTGTTTCTACAGGTGTCAGGGTCTTATTTTCCATTTTTTGCCCTCCTTAGAAGCATTGGGGTTGCTGGGAATGTTGACTGGGGTGTGCCAGTGCTCCTGCTGGGACCAAAACTCAGAGATTCCTGGCTAGAGGGTCTTGTCCCTCTGTTCAGGGTCAGACTGATTGCTACATTTGGGATCAGGAGGGAATTTTACCCCGTGATCAGCTTTGTACAGGTTGGTACAGCTTGCAGAGCTTGGTACTGCAGCACATTGAGCCTGGTACAGGTTGTGGGACTTTTTTGCTTTCACCTATAGTCTGGGGCATAGTCCCTTGAATCTTTCACATGAATTTTAACAACCCTTGCAGCAACAGGATACTGACCACCATTTTCCCTCTGCTTTTCCTGCAGCAGGCTAGGGGTGTGCTCCAGGGTGGATTTTGTAGTTTTAGTAATAGGTTAGACAAGTTTTATTCCAAATACATGGTTTGGCTTGGATAGGGATGATCCTACCTTGAGCAGGAAGCTGTACTAGATAATGTCCAGAGGTCCTTTCCAGATTGATTTTTCTATGATTCTAGGCCTAAAAATAGATGTCGCTGAATTAAATAGATCAGTTCTGCCACAACGTGGATTCCATTGATAGTGTGGGATAAGGGGCAATGTGATCTTAGGAGGTGGTTTGGGGTAAATAGAGAAAGCCCCACTTTCCTTCTGTCCCAAAGTCACTCCGAGAGATCCCAGAAGAGGGTCTGGGAGACTAGAGATCTCTAGGGATGAGTCTGGCAATACAGGGAAACCCTCATTTTTTCTTTTACCCAGATGGTCCCTGGAGATTCCAGGAGTGGGCCTGGATAAGCAAGCTCCATCATGGAGACACAGGGCACCAGAGATTCTCTGGGGCTCATGCCTCTGTACTCTCCTATCATAGAGCTAGTAGACAATAACTGCCACAATAAAGTGGCAGAGACTATTACTACTTTTCATTATGCCGCTGATTTTCCTCCTACATGGCACAACAAAGGGTAGGAACATCTATTTGCTCACCATTTGTGGTGCCATAAAAAAAAAATATGATGGCACACTTGAGGTGTCAAGTGACATGTTTCCACCCTATGAGTGTCTGTAGACATGCGGGGTGCTACTCCGACATGCTGTAATTACAACATGTTGGAGCAAACTTGATTAATCAAGTCTGCTATGGCATGCTAATGAGTGTGCTGCAGCAGCCTCGGCATCTTGTGTATTTACCCTCCCTGCACTTCAAAATTTCAGTGAGGGCACTTTAACTAAAGTTCTTTGAATGAGATTTAGTTAAAGTGGTGCCACCGCTATTTTGTAGTGCAGGATGCTGAATACACGAGGTGCTGTGGGCGCTTTAATTAGAATGGCTCTTGGAGTCTCTCTAATTAAAGTGCCCCCTCACTTCCACCTACATGGGTAAAGATGCCTTATGATTCTAAACAAGAGGACTTAATGGAGTGAGAGAAAAATCAATGCTAGCATATGAGGGGGACAGGCAAAGCCACAAACCCTGTCAACTAGATGCTCCTTCTCTCCACGCTACTTCTACACTGAGCAATATAAAGACATGGCAGGCAAGACTAGCAGGGCCACCTGAGGAGAAGGGCTGGCTAGAGTGGAGCTTCCTGAGCCAGAGGAAGGTGTGAGTTTTTACAAGACGTCTTCACATCCCTCTTAGAAATATAGTTAACTATAGTATTTTAATAAGGATTTTTAATTTTTGCCCACAATTTTTCATAGTGGTTCTAGAAGTTAGGAATTTAAATTATATAAGCAGATATCATATAAAAGAAGGGTCAGAAGATAATTAGAGAGACCACCTTCTCTGTCCATTCTTCTACTGAGCCAGGATCATGTATACCCAGAGTGTTCCTGACAGATGTTTGTCTAACCAGGTCCTGAAAATTTCCACGTAAGGGAATTCCACAACCTTCCTACGTAGCCTGTTTCAGTGTTTAAAAATGCTTATATTTAGATAGATCTTTCTACGTTAACCAAAACCTTCTTTGATGCAATTTTAGCTAGGTACTTCTTGCCTGCAAGGGATACAACATAAAGAGTATTAAAAAAAATATTATTTGTGGAAAATTACCTAGTTAAGATGCTTCACTTTGATTCTGGAAAGAGTTGAGAGGAACCTCAAATAAAATCCAAGGCTTCAGACTGGGGCCCGAGACTTCCTAAGAATGGTTTCATTTGGGTCAAGCATGTATGTATTTAAGCAAAAGGGACTCACTAGTTTATGAACTATTTACTCGGGTTTTTCCATAATTCCACATAACTTTACACTTATGATTCTCCCTTTAAGACGATAAGATTATTAAACCTTCTATGCAGGATATTTGGTCATATGCACAATCTGAGAAAGAAGCACAAGTGCACACTCTTAAAGAAAGAAAACTGATTCCAGGTCTTAAGGAAAGGCAAAGGAGAAAACAAGCATAGTGCATACTTCAACAGGAAAGGACTTTTGAGGCCTTTTCCAAAAGGTGCTAGCTATGTTTACTCTGGGAGAGTTTTGTGACCCAGAGAGCTAATCTTAATTCTTGATGCTCCTAATCTACAAATATTAACCCTAAAGAAATTATCATTGCACCATTAACAGAACAATCCTGAAAGAGTTTAGGGTATCTTAAAGCCCTGGAAAACTAAAGTAGATATTAATTTGAATTGTTTGTTATGAATAGTGTGTGGTTATTCTGAAAAAAAATTGTTAAAAATCTTTGGTTTCTTTAGTGTCTTGGTCATAAACCCCTGCTGTAATTATGGATGTGAACAAACATAATAATTAAAATGTTTCAAATGCCTTTGTCATATTTCAAATGACCAGCTGTACATACCTAACAAGCCTTCTGAAATGTTTCAGAAGATGATACATTCCAAAATATTAACTCTTTAAATAAGTACTATTTTGGAGTGTTTAACTTTTGCTTATATATGCACAGAAACAGCACATGGTAGTTGTGCCAGGTCAACAGCCAAAGCCAGAGCCAGAACTAGAACCACAGCTAGAGCCAATCTTACCCCCTGCCCTCCCTGCTAGATCTCTGGTGGCCCCACCAGAGCTGGAGCTGGACCTTCCAGCCCCAATCCCCACTACTTCTGCCCACAAGGCAAAAAAGAGCAGAGCTTCAGAAGATTTGGAAGCCCCTGCTTCCCCCCTCCACTCAGTTTCTCTCTCCTCTCCAGCTCTCAGATTTCCCCTCCCCTCTGCTTCCAGTTTCTGGGGTGGGAGAATGAAGAGGAAACCAAGAGATCTACTACAGGCTGCTCTACCCTGGCTAGTATTAGAGGGGATGGCAGAATTTTGAAATGTTCCAGGCAGGAATGGAACAGAGGCATAGACATGTCCCCCCCTTGGCTGAATGTTTTCCTTTTTGAAGTGTTGCCAAGCAAGTTTCACTTGGAAATGTTTCAGTTGTTACTGCCTCCACCATATGAGATGCTTTGAAACTAGAACTGAAATTTTTCTTCCAAGCTAAACATTGAAGGACAAATCTTGGAATCATTAAAGTCAAAATTCCAGATGAAATCAAACAGGAAAAAACTTCACGGCATTGCCCTAAATATTCATTTCAAGAACAAGGAAAAACTGCTTGTAAATCTTGCAGCTGAATGGTCACATACATTTGTATAGATACTTACTTTGGCATTCTGTATATGGTGGGGCATGTTCCCATATTCCGTTATTACACTGGAATATAACACGCCCAAGTTTTATATACCCAGGTCGACACACATAAGTTGCTCGAGTACCATGTGGGTAAGATGCCTTATTCCATGTTTCTGTGAGTACTTCTTTTCTTCTTCTAGGAGGTGGGGTTTTACACTCTAAAAATTAAATAAATATGAATAATTAAGTATTAAAATACATAGTAAATGCCGTCAAAATTAAAGAAAGGAAAAGTAGTAAGAGCTATGAAGGGAAGCTGGGGTCCAACATGTGCAGCTTCTTGATTTGAATTATAATATACTGTTACACCTCAGCTCTGTGTTCTTGGGCAACCCTGGCACAGGATGCAGTCTGCCTGACTCACAAAGGACTCACCCCCCTCCCTCCCCTCCTCTACCTAAATGAAACTGATTAAGATGCAGTGAGAGACACACCTAAGACCCTCCAGATAAGGGTGACAAGAGTGAATCAACTGCTTAGGTCTTATTTGCATCCGAGATGGAACTGTAAGGAGTGACCTAGAAACCACTACTCAGAGATGAAGCAGAAGAGAATGTTATGTGACGAATGCCCATCTGCAATGACAAGGAGGAGACAGTCCTAGATAAAGGGGGTTTGAAAACAAAAGCAAGAAGCAAAGTACTGGGTTAAAGGGCTCATTAAAATACTAAAAATCACGCCCCTAGGTGGGGAAAAAGTATGCTAATGAAAAATCAACTGCCCTAGGTCTCATTTACATGAGAGATGGAAAACAGAAAGCCTGAAGCAGAGACTGCAGTGAATTCTGGGACCAGAGAAGCAGGAGAGCGCTGCATGATGGGGAATCTGTGCTTCCAATGTTAATCAACCCATGTTCACACACACCCAGCTCAGCATTTATCAGACCAGTTCTAATCTGGATTTACTAAGGACTTTTCCCCCCCAGACACACACACACAGCTCTAAGTTTAATAGGCATCTCGGGCCGTACATTCCCCGGTCCCACTATGGGAGGCCTATTTAAACTTGATTGACTAAAACTCGGTTGCCGGGTTAGGGAATGCTGAGGCAAGAGACCGAGTCAGAGGGGGTATGGGCAACATTTGAACAATGGTTAAGGGTTCATCACAGCATCCAGCCTGCTGGAGCCCTAATCCCAGGTGTTGTCATATCTTTCCCGAGACGACTGGTGGGAGTCCTCTCCACAAAAGGTTATGAGCACCCCAATAATTGTTTTAAGTCTGTTAAAAGACTATAGTAAGATCTGGAAAAGTCATGCTAAGCTGAGGCTTGTGCACAACAAGTAAAAATCCAAAATCCTGATGCTGCAAGCTATCTATTGTTCCTGAAGAAACCATGAGATATCCCATCAGTATATCTGCCACCCATAGGAATTTCAAGCTGGCTCCCAAGTATTTGGGTTACTCCCTAATCTTAAGTGTTTCCTGATTATCAATCAGTTTCCTGAGATGGTCCAAACCAGATAACCCCTTGTCAATAGAAAAGACAATGATTTACACTACTGAGGGTGCTTCGAAGCAGCTGAACTGAGGGTATAAAAATCTGTAAGTGTGTGTGCTGCTAGAAGAGGAAAAGGAAGGAAAAGAAGTAGAAGCAGGAGGAAAGAAGGAGAAGAAGAAAACCCCTGTGCTGACACCATCCCCTGTCGTTCTTGGGACGCTGGAAGAACAGATCATCTCTCTCTTCAAGGATTGTGCTACGGACTGTGCCTGTCAGCTTTGCAGCCTGAGTACCGTGGACTAGGTGAGATCCCAGCGTTCTCTGTCTTCTTTCTAGGCATAAACTTCTGAACCTGAACTGTATCAGTTAAGCTTGAGCTAAGTTTCCCCAAATACTTAGTGAAACCAGGGTAGTATTGTCATTGTTGGTGTTTGTTTTTCTTTTGCATGTCTATTACTACTAGTACTATTATATATTTCATATGCTTAGCAATAAATAACTTTTATAGTCAAACTGGTAGTAATTGGGTATATTTTTCCTTCTCTGCTTCTCTTTCCTCCCGTGCTCTGCAGCAACGCTTCTTTTACCTATGCTAAAGATCCCTGTGAAGCCCAAATTATTGTGGGGTCTGCTCATCAAGAGGCCAAAGATTGGGACGTGCTGAGTTTGAAACACATAAGGGGATCAGCTTGTACAGGCTGATTGACCCCGTTTGACTCAGACGTGCCCTTATGAACTGAATGCTGGCCCATGAGGGTGTCAGCTGGACACCCAGCCGGATTCAGAGGGATTCTGTTTACCTGTGTGCTTGTGTTTGACTGCATTTTATTGTTGCTCTTATGAACTGATTCTTGGCATATGAGGGTGTCAGCCTGTCCATGCTGATCAGCCTGGCCAGGTCAGGCGTGTCACGTTAATTTGTGTGTGTTTGTGTGTATGACTGATTTGGTGGCTGGAGGAACCCAGTCCCATTGAGATTGAGTCCTGCAAGATAGCTCCACTGGGGGTGAGGGCTTGCAGAAGGGAGAAATACAGCTCCGTATAGTAACACAAGCAGCACATTGACAGAATCACCAAGACCCTAGAAACTATCCCTAATAAATGAGCACACCCCAAAGTAATGGGCAAATTTGGTAACAATACTTCAGCTTTAAAATATCATGGCAGTTGAGTAAAGGAAATTGCACAATCTTTTGCTAACATGTACGTACACAGGCGCTGGAAAAAGTTATCTTTGGTTATTGAGATGTAAATATATACTGATATCAAAGGATAACAACTGTTATATCCACATGGTTCTGTTGTGATACAAAACAAAATAGCACCAATTTAAATCATTCTTCATTCAAAGTCAAAGTTTAAATGATTAAGCTAATTTATATCACTATGTAACAAGTGGGAGTCCCAGGGCCTGTCTAAACATAGGCCCACCCACTTGTCTTAGGTCCAGCCACCCGCCTCCTCATCTGCCATGCCTTGATGCTACTAATTATCCCATGTTAATCAGGTGGAAGGCTGCCCATTTATCTGCCCTCATGACAACAGCCTATGTATATGACTCTCATCTCCCCCTATCATATCCCATGCCTCACAGATGCTTCCTCCAGCTAGCTAGCACTGAGACCCGAGCTCCAGAGTCTCATGTGGGACTCACGGTTCCAGCGCCCTCACCCTGGGTTCTCTCTTTACACACACACACAGAGCCCCAGGCCCTGCACACTGGGCTCCAAGCCCGCACACCTCGGGCCTCCAAGCCCACGTCTGGGATCAGGGCTCCAAGCCCTGTCCCAAAGCCCTCCCTGAGCTATCCCCTTATCCCTGGCCCTGGGAGCTTCCTTAATAGCTCCCCAGTGCTCAGGGCCCCACCCTCCTGGAGCTTCATGCTGGATCCTATATGCAGCCTCAGACATCCACCAAAAGTCTGGGCACTGCCACAGGTCCCTCCACTGACCTGGGCCCTGCCTCAGTACTCTTGGTGAGTCTGGGCTCCCCCTGCTCAATCTCATCCACCAGGGATGTGGGACTGGGGTTAGGAGGTGTCCTGAAGTTGCCTTTCACAAGGGTGGTAACTGGCCTGGCATTTCTGGGGGACTGTCCTGCCACAGACAGTCCTGTCAGGCCACCCGTTCCCAGCAGGGTGCAGTTTTCTGTCATGCTGAGGATCATGGGGCTGCCTCTTTCCCCATAGCTTCCTCCCTTACCTCCAAGATGTTACTCTGAGCAGCAGCCCAGCTGGGTGGTGCTGTTCCCTAGCTGCTGGCAGCAAACTGCTGCCTCTTTGCAGTTCAGGGCTCAGCCTTTATAGAGCACAGCTGTGCCCTGCTCCCAATCAGGCCACTCTGCCTAATTGGCATTGCAGGCAGCTGCAAGCTGCATAGCTGGCACTCAGTCCCCTACTAGTAACAAAGCACTCTGTGCTCTGTTACACACTACAAGTTTGAGTTAACAGCTGATGGACACTTCTGCCCAGAATCTCCCCTTTAAAGCATCTAAAGTGCATTTTTGCATGACTTTAGTCAAAGAATATAAAAAGTGAGGACAGAGGTAACTCCATGTTTATATATTTTAAATTTATCCTTATATTTTCTTTCCCATAACAGCAACTCCCAATCTTCCCAGCACCAAATGTGCAAGATGGATAAATGTTATTCCTGAACTTGCAAGAAACTAACTTCTGCAGTCATCATATCTCCATCAATGTTGATGTCAATTTGTTTCCCCCAGCCTAGTGGCAACACAGTCAGTTGATCCCATTCTCCTAACCATCCTCTGCTTGCGAACTGGAAAAAAACTGCGATACTTGGCTGGGGAGAACTGACTAATAATCGTTGCTCCATGACCAGGAAGGGGAGGTATAGTTTAGTTTCCCCAGCATGGGAGAAGCAGAAAACCCAGTTGGTCAGTTTTTAAGCAAAAAATAAAGTTCATTTTAATTGCAAAATAAAGTCTCGTCATCTCTCAGTATTTTATATATCACTAATCTGAGTCCCTATAGTGTAAAGAGCACAGTCTGTAACAGTTATGCCAAACCAAATGGAAACATTACAAACCCACTCATTAAAACAAAATATACAGTTAAGTAAAATTACTGCTTTGTGTCCACCAGAGGGCACTCAGATGCTGTAAAAAAAAAGATGGTTGAATCTTTCTAAGAGTGATGATCAAAACCCGCTGAAACATATTTGTTCTTTAATACTCTTTCTTTTTTTTTTTCAAATCGCTGGGTTACTATACGGTTTAATAGTCTGGAATCATTACATGCCAATCAGAAGCTAAATTAAAAATATTCCTTGACTTGACTGTCTCATGAATATCCCTTACCTATCTTCCAATTGCCAACTTCTATATAGTTTTCTTCTCACATGAATTTGTCTGCAGGCAAATCTGTGGAGTTATATGAAACTACGAAGTGAGGGGGCCTTCATTTTTGTTTATGTATTTATAATACAGCTCTGCTATGCATTTGCATTCTTGAACTTGGAAAAAATTCAAGAACAAGAACTCAAACTTGGAAAAGGCATGAATAGAATTTGGATATCAATGATATAGAGATATAGATATAGAGATATTCCTTTAATTTATACATTTAATTACATGGTGAAAATTTTCCTTAATGCATATGAGCAATTCTTATTGATTGTGCATGCATATCTTAAAAGTAAATAAACTTCTTGATTTCAGCTTCACTGCTTTATTGGTCGAGTTACACCCTTGACAC